GCCATCACCAGGAACGGGAAGTACGTGGCTCCGGGCGTCCACCTTCGTGGGCGACCCACGACGGAGACCACCGTCACCCCCGGACCCAGTGAGTACCACTTCTGCAGCACTTCCCCCAGACAACACCAGCAGGACATAGTGGCGGGGCACAGAAAAGCATCCCCGCGTGCTGCCCGGGCCCCCTAGCAATCCTGCAGCTCTTCAGAAGACCCTTTCCTCGGGACATTGTCTCTGCGGCTGCAGAGGGAGACCAGCATTTCACGGCTTTCTTCCTCTTCTCCTCTGCCCCCAGGTGACTACCGCACCGAGGCAGCCAACAGGCAGGTCTTCAGGTGCCCACCGGTGCAGTCCATGGCCTTCCGGCGGGAGCCCCTGCGCACAGACCTCACTCCAGGTACGCTGACCCTTCAGCCTGAGCATCCTCCAGGGATGGGCTGCTGCTCAGCACCAGCAGCGGGCCGACTGCACAGCCTGCACGGCAGGACGCAGCGCTGGAGCTGCAAGCTTTCTTGCATGACCAGCACCTCTCGGCCCGCAGCAGCTCCGGCTGCTCAGGCTCGGAGATGCTGGCGCTGGCCCAGTGCCTGAGTAGAGGGAGGGACAGGCAGAGAGGAGACCTCCCTCCTGTTCCCACCAGCAGGCTGGGCAGGCTGCCCCTCTCTGCTGCTTCCGTCTCCTCCAGCCCCTCACGCACACGCTCCCTGCTGCTCCTCCTGCAGGTCCGGGCACCTACACACTGCCCAGGCTGATGGGGCCCAACACAGCCTACACATTGGCCAGCCCCTGCTACTCTGTCAGGGGAAGGAGCCAGCGCGGCCGCTTTGACGAAGACCTTGCCAAGGTGAGCCCTGCTGCTCTTCTTTTCCATGTCAGCATCCCAACCTGGGCTGCTCTCCCTGTGCCACAAGGGCTTCCAAGCCCCAAGCACCTTTGCTTAACGCAGACTTCCAGGGAAAAAGAGAGCCTTGAGTGTGATCCCAGCCATGACTCTCTTGCAGACTCCGGGTCCTGCGGCGTTGCCCAAAGTGCCTGTGGATGCCTACAAGACCAGGGCGCCCGCGTACACCATGGCAGCCCGACCAAGACCTGGAGAGGGCAAAGCAGCAAAGCCTGGGCCGGCAGACTACAGCGTAGGCCGGGTAAGGCAGCTGCTCAGCTCTCCCCCTCTGTTTCACATGCACAGCCGTCACGTCCCCTTCCCCTGAGGCTTCCTCTGGCCAAAGAGCTTCTGGCCACAGGGACCAAGTGCTGGACAGCAGGCCTGCTCCCTGCCCTCGTGCCACCTCTGAGCAGAGGAAGGGAGGGACAGCACAGCACGCAGCTTTTCCTCCCTCTGCTCCCTTTCCCTTCACTGGGGTGTGCTGGTCCTTCACAAGCTCTTCTGGGGAACGCAGCTCTGAAGGGCTCCAAGCAGCATGCCCCCGGGATAGGAGAGTTAGCTGCAAGGTCCCAGGTGCACATCCAGCCCTCTCTGAGACGGGAGGTGCCCATGTCAGGCCAGCCCACCTGCTCTGCTCCAGCAAGGAGCTGCACCAGCTCTGCGCTGGCACTCAGCCCTGCCCAGAAAGGCACCCACGACTGTCGGGCATCAGCAGGGAGCGAGGGCAGCAGAGAAGAGAAGGGCCTTTCCTGATATGCCTTTCCTTTTCGCCCTTCCAGGTGACACTGATC